GAGGCAAGTGCCTGGGGCAGGTGCTGCCGCGGCAGCACAGGATGATGATGATGAAGTCCCTGATCTTGTGCCTGGAGAGACCTTTGAAGCTGCAGCAGAGGAGGATAAAGCTGCTGCTTCTTAAGAGACATTTAAAAGGATTTTGTGTTCTTTCATATGCTTCCTGTGATTTTGAAGTGGTATCCATTTTTTTTAAATTACATCGTTCTTAATCTTATGTTCTCTGTGACTCTTAATGGTGTTATGTTGAGTTTTCGATCCAAAATACTTTTTCTGAAATTCGTGGTTGATATTTTCCCGGTTGAATGCTAGCACCGTGACCACGGCAATGCGTGAATGATTATATTATAAAAAAAATTATAATCTCTGAGGGGGTGTTATCCCGTGAGAAGCTCTTTGGAACTCCAGTTTAGCTGGTTTCGACTAAGAAATCACAGGTTTTGCTTGGTGGGCTCGGAATGCTAGACTTGTCACTTTATTCGTTGAATTGCTGGGAGTTGATGTGGTGCATGTTGGATTGATATTGTTCCAGGTTGGAGCAATGAACTTATTTGGCCAGTGTATAAAAACAAAGATTAATTTTGCTCTCTCACCAAGCTACTGATGGTCCTGGTTTTCCACACCGTTGTTTAGGAGATTGTATTTGTATTTTATTTAAAATATAGTTGCAACATATTTGGTAATGAATAAATTATGTTCGGTAATGAAAAAATATAATTTATTGTTTATAAGGTCTATTGGATTCTACATTTATAACGCAAGATGAGAAAAAATTTTTTGCGGAGTAGCTTTTGTGGAGGGTGCATTACTCTCCACTATTCATTTTAATTCATATAAATATATAAATATAAATAGTGGAGTCACTTAACTGTTCGCATGGCTTCACTGTTTCAGCTGAACTCAATTCACTTCAAAGGTAAATGTATTGAATTGAGTTTGATTAGTAAAATAAAAAAATTATTTTTTTAATTTTTAATTATATTTTATTTTAAAATTTAGTGTTTAACATTATTTAATAACATTAAATAAATTAAACGGAGATCGTTTAATAATTTAATATTTATAGAATTTAATTGTAATTTCAATTTTATTCTTAATGATATTTAATATGATGTCGTTGCTCGTTTAAGAAACTAAGAAAACTTTAGTCATTGTCGGATGTATTTCATACGTGATGGAGTTGTAAATAATTTAATGGAACAATAAAATATATTTTATATAAAGTATAATTTATTTCATGATGTAATAGCAGTAGTTAAATCTACAATATTTAAATTAAAAACCATCAACATAAATATATATTTTTTAAAATTATTTTATAATCTCAATTTGAAAAGCATTCTTAACCACATACATTAAATTACTTTTTTTTTTCAACCTTAATTTCAACCATAGTTTTAATCAAATATATATAAATACCAAATCAACTTCAATAAAAAATATTTTTTATAAAATATTTTTTTTCAAACCATAAATATACCATGGCGTGCTTCATCTAATTCCCTCTATAGTATTGAGCTGTGAAAATATTTATTATGCCCTTTTAGAGCTGGAGATGCTTGAAGAATCTTTTTTACTTTTAGGTAAAGAGAGTGTTTTGCTCTTTTTGTTTGTGCAGTTGAAGACTTCGAGTCTGTTTGGTATTGTGGTTGCTTTTATGGTTGTGGTTTCAAAAAAACAGTTTAATAAAAAGTGTTTTTTGTGAGGTTCGTTTTAACTTTTGATGTGTTTGGTTAAAACTGTGGTTGAAATTATGGTTGGAAAAAAATAGTTTTATGTGTTTGGTTAATATGCTTTTTGTATGAGGTTTAATTGTAAAATTACCTAAAAGGACACACACACACATATATAAAAAACAAACCATTTGCAATTCTATCGCGTACAAATCCCATACGTGAAGGTCTCTGCGATCCTTGAATAGTTGAGCGAGGTACAATATCAGGTAAAAAATGAAATTGGAATTGCGATCATACTCGGAAAAAACCTCATCATCTTGTGATCTCCTTCTAATATAGTTATATAGTGTTGTTGATACAACTAAACATCTACATATTTAATTTTTGTTATATATATATATTTATTTATCTCTAACAAAAATTACCTCTAAACATAACCAATTAATAAAAAAGCTTTTATACAAATAAATTATAATAGTATAAGCAATATATGTTTTGTTGTCATTATTACATAAAAACTTGTATGAATTTTCACCCACCAATGAAAACCAAGCATGTTTAATTTGTATTTATACTTGTTTTTAAAGGGCATCATTTTCAATCATGGATAAAATTTACAAGTTTTCAGAACCAGCCGCCACTACGTAGAGCACCAAATCCTCTCTTCCTTTTAGTTTCTCATTTGCCTCTTATTTGTTTTCTTTCTCCCTTGGCCTAAAAACAACACAAGATTAGGATGTAATTACTAGTGCAACAAAGCATCTCATAGCAGTTGTCCTAGAACTTAGAGGAGAGAGCACAACTGCTATTGATTAAAAGATGGCTACTGGATAATGGGCAAAAAAAGATTTTTGCCTCCTCAACATTGATGGGCTAAAAGAAAAATTGGGAGAAACTTTTGGAAAGGATCTAATGGAATCAAAGGACCCATTACAATTGGTGAACTCAGACCATTTGAACTACATCATATTGATAAGATTTTAAACCTCATAATTTGTTTTATTTTGGGTGATATTGTATTTATGATATAAAAAAAGTCCTAACATTAAATTGATGCTTGATGTTGTAATTGTTTTTTAAAAAAGTTTATTTAAAATATTAAATTAACAAGGATTTGATTGATCATAAAAAAACAACAACCCTTTTTTCTCTTACTTATCATGGGCATGAAAAACTACAATTTAGAAGATTTTACTTTTTATATATATTTTTAGTCTTTATGTTTTGAAAGTCACGTTTTAGTCCTAAAACTTCATTTCTTATACATTTTAGTTCCTAAGATTTGAGAAGAGAGAGAAAGTCATGTAGAACTAGTAAGGAAAGAAAATATTTGATCAGTCACTTTCTGACTACTAAAAATACTAATCTTGGTATTGGTGGATTCATCTTGGAGAAAGAGGTTTATAGAAGTGTTTTTCTTTTAACATGTCATAAAAAGTAGATTGAGACCTATAAAGTTGTTTTTGATTTTGATAGATTTTTTTTTAATTTTTAGAGTAATTATGTGTTTTGAGATTTAAAATGAGTTTCTTTATGTTTCTACGATATGTTTTTGTATTTTCATGTAAAAAAAAAGGTTCAAAGATGACTGAAAAGTCAATAAAAAGATGACATGTAGTGTTTATATATATATATATATATATATATATATAATGAGGTATGGATAATGTGTTGTCTATCCATTGGGAAAAAAACCTTATAGGCCTTCATCCTAAGCCTACGTATGCTTCGTATTTTTCTTAGATTTTTCTTTATTTTTAATTCACTTTATTAAAATAATATGTAATTGATTATCTAAGTATGCCATTATATTTATGAATATTATAATGATATTATCATTTTTTTGAATAATTATGTGTTAGTCTAATATATAGATTTTTTTAAAATAATTTTCTCATCAAATATTTGTTGAATGAGAATAAAATATATATCTTGTATCACTTTGATGCTACTATGTTTTTTGATAACCGAATGACTCTTATCAATTTTAACTTAGGATTCTTAAATATTTTTTTTAAAGGATATGACATTCTAGCATCAGTTAGTTGGCCAAAATGGTTCAAAACTCCTATTGCAGAAAACATTTTTAGTGTGATAAATGATTTTGAATGAAGTTTATTTTTTATTTATCGTAGAACATTATACCTTAAATTGTTGAAAAAGTAGGTGATGATATTTTAAAATTCAAAATGCTCAGGAATGTTGGTTTTTTTTAGTGTTTAGATAGAGAGTAATCACACGTTTACGTTAATATTTCCTTCTTCAGCCTTCAAGAAGTTGACGAGTTAGTGATAGAATATACAACACTTGTAAAACAATCACTTTTGATGAGATTTAATGACCACTCAATGATAAAGTCAGTAATTTTTAATAAAATATTACAATAAATAAAAGAATAAATTTTAAATTCTTAAAAACAAGAGTGTTTGTTTTTAGTTATGTATAACAAATGCTCTATAAAAATAAAAATATGAATAGAGAATAGGAAAAATATGAATCATTTACTTGTGTGATTCCAATAGTATATATAACCTTTAAAATTTATCATGTTACTTGAATGGAGATGTTCGAATGTCATCTTTTTCTGATAATATTAATAAGAGATAAATATTCATTACATAACATTAATGAGAGATATATATCTCTTACACAATATCAATTATTGATGAAAATATAACAGGCATCTACAAGACTTTTATATATCCATTAATGCAGGAAGATGATCATTCTTATGACCCAACATGTGGCTTAAAAAGATTATCAACTAAAAATATATTTAGATTTAATAAGATTCCAAATATAAGGGTGATAAGTTTAGCAACATGTCAAACTCATATGTACTTAAGCTCAGTACGTAGCTGAATTCAAAGGTGATAGGTCTGGCATCTTGACAGACCCACTTATACCTAGGTTTAACATATAGCTGAATCCAAAGATATTATGTCTAATATCTTGTCACACCTATATGTATTTGGCTCAGCGCATAGTTGAATAAAAAGGTATTGAGTCTGACATCTTAATAAACCCGCTTTGACTTGGTTTCAACACGTAGTTAAACCCAAAAATGTTGTGTCTGATATTTTACCACATTCACATGTATTTGAGCCTAGTGTATAATTGAACCTAAATGTATTAGGTCTTACATCTTGTCAGACTCACAGACACTTAGGCTCTAAGCATAGTTGAACCTAAAAGTATTTGGTTTAACATCTTATCAAACTCACAAGCACTTATACTAAATATGTAGCTAAAAGCAAGGGTGATGAGTTTGATAACTTGCTAAACCCAAATGTATTTAGGCTCAACATGTAGTTGAATTTAATGGTGTTGGATCTGGCATTGTTAAACCTATATGTACTTAGACTCAACCCGTAGTTAAACCCCAAGAGTGTTGGATCTGGTATCTTACTAGATCCACATGTATTTGAGTTCTGTCACATAGCTGAACCTTAAGGGTGTTAAAGTTGATATTTTTTTAGATTCATATAAAATCAGGCTCAATACATAACTGAACTTTTAAAGTGTTAAATTTGATATTTTACTAGACCCAAAGTATATAAGCTTAATTAGCATTCTACCAAACTCGGATATGTTCGAACTATCACCCTGCATTTAACCTTTTAATTATAGACTTTCAATCAAACATATCAAATATAGAAAATACGTTCATCGATCAGTAGGTACCCTCTTTGCTGAAACAATGTATATATTTTTATCTAGACTTAGAACTCAGGTCTTTACTCGCAGTGAAATTCTTAAAATCACTATTAATTCGTGATGGGTTCAATAGCATAGCCTGCAGTGCAAGTGAACATGAGAAGTGAATCACTCAGAGTGAAATAGAGTTTTCTCGTACATAAAGATTATGAAAGTAACCTTCAATTGTCGTTTGAAGTGTAGGGCTTGGCAGACGATAACCTCCATCAACACCAGGCTAATTCCATCACATATTTGGACTTACAGCTTGCGAAATACAGGATCGCTTCTGCTTTTGGTACCGCATATCTTTCTATTTGTCTTTGAGAAGAACTCAACCTTCTCCATGTTACCAAACCTTTTGTCAGAAATGGAGTTGCCACTGCAATCGGAGAAATGAGGTTCAACTTTTCGTCCATACTGCACTAGCTTCACATAGCTTCTTAGCCACTCTCACCATGGCGTGCTTTGATGCTCCACATGCACGAGGAAATTCTCCGCAAATTACAGAAACTAGATTTGGAAGTGAAGAAAATACATCGTCTTGACTGGAATCAATATCCAGGCGGCATTTTTAGCTCTGAGAAAGCACCAAACAAATTGACATCAACAAACCTTTTGAATTCGTCACCGGTGGTAGCTAAGATTCTGGGATCCACGTCGCTTGAAACATTAGCGTTGTTGTATAAAACATCAAGTTTTGTATTCATGGAGACAGCCAAATCTGCAACGTTTTGCACATCGGAGTCGTGTTTCACAAGGTAAGATGTTGAATTTTGGGAGCCAAGTTCTTCATATAGAGGCAGCGACCAAGTTCATCTTGGATATTGACAATGAGAACCTTGGCATCATGTTGTATGAACAGCCTTGCTATAATGCTATGGACTTGTACCACTCCACTACCTCCACCGGTTATCATCGCCGCCTTGCCAATTATGTAACAAAACTGAAGTTTATTTGACGAAGGAATCCAAGGCCTGCTTTATTCTTGCTTTATTCTTACTGTGATGTCAATCTCACATATTATTTTATATCATAAATCATTGGAGCTAACACAGAATCCCTAACTTGTTGGGTGGAATTAGCATAACTTAAACACATGATTAGGTGCTAAAGATTGGATGCTAAATTATTAATATGCTCTCACCTAATTTGTTGGGCATGCCCATCAAAATATCGTGAAGCTCTCAGGTAAAACTTCAATTTGGATTCATCCTATGTACATAAAAGTCATATTTTTTTTTTCTACTGGTGTATTTTGAAGGGAAAAAAAACCTAGTTTTCATCATTTTTTATATTTATAATCTATAGATGTATGATCTAACTAATATAACATTATCCTTATTCTATTATTCCTCTTACCCAAGGGCAGAGCTAAGATTATTTGTTTTGGGGCCAAAAAATATAATATTTTTTTAATTTATTATATATGAGTTGTAAGAATAAAATAAAAATTACATAATTTAGTTTTATTTAAAGAACGTATTACAAAATATATAATAATCTTTGTACCTATTAAATACAAACATATAAAGTATATAAGAAGCATTAACTAAAACAAAGCATTATTTATATTTAATAAACTTTGAAATAAAATAAAAAATAATTCTTACATATTTATTTTAATTGTGCTCGTCATTCTTTCATAGAATAGAAATCATTGATTATCATATCAATTGTAAATCTTTCAATAATTTTTTTTCTATATAGACAATCAAATAATTTGCAAGAAAATTATCCTCTATCTGATTGCAAAGTCTTGTTTTAATAATCTTCATCACTGAGAAAGCTCGTTTAGTAGTTGCTGTCAAAACAGGAAGAGTCAAGATAAGCCAAATCAATTTGTTAATGAGTGAATAAATTATTAATTTTTCTGTTTCAACCAATCCTTGATATAAATCAGCAATTGATGACATATTCTATAACTTTGGATGATTGGGTAAATCAAGCTCATAATGTTGCAACTGAAATCTCAAATGAATTTTTTCTTGGTTAGAAAAATCTTTAGGGTAGAACTTGTCAACAAGTAAGTATATATCTTCAACATTAAATAATTTATAGCTATTTCTAGGATCTAAAGCTATGTTCAATTTAATTTAATGATCTGTCAATCTAAAATTTAGTATAATATGTCAATTTAATAACTTATTAATTTAAGATTTAATTTTATTAGAATTTTAAATTAAATTGAATAAAAACTAACTCAAAGTCAATTAACCTGAAAAATAAATTTCTAACTCAATCAATATAATTTAAATTAACTCAAGCTATTACACACAAATTATGATTTTGGAACATTAGTTAAGCACGAGTTTACTCATTTCGGCATGGTGGCTGTGAAACTTAGAATTTAAGCTGCAAGCCTGCAAGAGGTGTAATGGGCCTGAAAACATTGGATTGACTACAAAAGAGTCCAGCAGAAGGAAACTGCATAAGACGAGCATTTCTGACACCCAATGGCAATGCAGTTGAGCATGGAAAGCTCAAGAGTAGGTGAGTTAGACTTAGAAGAATGCAGCAATTCCAACAAGGCAAAGATGAGAAAGAAGAAACCAATTTCGAATCAGGAAGAAGATATAGAGAAGGACGCCAATGTCAATGGCAGGTCTAAGAAGAAGAAAGAAGGGACTAAAACGTCACTTCCTTCTGGTACTACTAGTCCTTATTACAACAAGTTTGATAAGGCTTACGAAAGGAAAACAGCAGACAACACATGGAAGCCACCACAATCTGAATTTGGGTTCTTGCATAATCATGCACATGACCCCTGGAGAGTTTTGGTCATTTGTATGCTCCTTAATCGCACTGCTGGTACTCGGGTACTCTATATGCTCTCAAAGTCAGTCTTTTCCTGTTCTTTTGGTGGTTTTATTTTCTTCTTGAAATTGATATTTGTGGGTATGCGTGAATGTTTAACCTTTTAGCTGATTACTTTGTGAATTTTAGTTGTTAATGTACTGTTGATAATTGGGTCTGGTTTAGAAGACTTGTTTGGATGTTGTAATTAAAAAGTACTGACCCTCAAATTAAAAAAAAAAAAATTGAAACTTTATGGTGCTATTTATCTGTAAAAGATCTTGGAAATTATTTCCCCATACAAATAGGAATGAGGATGGATAATTCATGTAGGATTTACACTTCTTTCATTGTTTGACAGCTTCTTAGAAGTGGAAGGTTTTCTTTTTTGTACCACTAGGTTGTGTACTTTCCCACTGTGTTTTTGAATAAAACTTAAAGTAATTGTAAGCAAACTTTAAACTGGCCTGAGATTTTGAACGCAGCCAACTCTTACTCTGGATTATTCCCAAGGCATTGGAAGGTGGTCTTGCGCTCTTAATTATTGTGCTCATTTGAGTGATTTTTTATGTTCTTTTTGCCTGTCGAGGATGTACAAGGCGTTATGTAGAGCATCTACAAACTGTTGTAGTTAAGACTCTCTAAAGAGCTAGGTCCTCTCTGTTATCAATCAACTTTTTAGGGTTCCTTGATATATTTCTCCGGCTGGATTTTTTTTTTAAAAAAAAAATTGCATGGTTTCATGTCTTTTGTTAAAAACACCAGCTTTTTAGTTTTGTACCTATCTATTGTCTGGTGACAGGTGCTATTCCATTTCTCGACCAAGTTCTATGTAATTAGAAACCAAGAACAATCAGTTCATGTCTTGCAAATTTATGTTGAACCTGCAATTAGGAGACTCTATAGATCTAGATGTAGTCTCTATGGAAAGAAAAATCTCTGCCTTTGATCATGGCTTGCAAATTTATTTGCTATCATTATTGTTCCTATAAGACTATGGTGATGGCTCTCAACAGCGACAACATCAAATGTTATTCAAAGATTTTATTTATACTGCCAACTGTGTCATCTTTTGGAGTGCCTAAACAAGTTGCTCACCACACAAGCAGATGTATGACTCTTAGATTTTGGGCATCATAGCTCATGGGATTTGATTGCTAAATGTTGATATTATGGCAAGACAAACTGGACTGGAATAAAATGGAAGGAGAGATCTTGTACTGGTTATTGTGACTTAGCATGAAACATTAGGTTTTCCATTTTGGATTAGAGTTTCTTTCTTTCTATTTTGAATAGGGGAGTTAAGCTATAACAATAAGAAGATTACAATATGAATGCATAAATATGATTGAGCATCATGAAGCACAAGCCTTGATTCCTCCCACAATAGAGACCTGGTTGGATTTCTTCCCTTTTGAAACCCCACCCACCCTCTCAGTCCCTCAACAGGCCTTCAGTTAAGGATTGGTTTGGTTTTGTGGTATTGCTTGATTTGGTTCTTGATGGGTTTTCTGAGTAGCAATCCTAATCTGTATCTCAATTTATCCCCTTCTCCTATCACTACTTGGCAGAAAATTGGGTTGAATGTTGCTAACAAAAAACTTTTTCAATTATTCTTCATCCGCTTGATTTCAACAAGATTTCAAGTCTCTTGTCAAACATGAAGGGATCACTGCATAAGCATTGATGCAGTCAGTTTACTTAAATAGAACATAGCTAAATGCAGGCTGAAAGAGTTGTAGCAGACCTCTTTACTCTGTGTCCTGATGCTAAGGCTGCCACTGGGGTTGCCACAGAGGAGATTGAAAGAGCAATTAAAAGTCTAGGTTTACAAAAGAGGAGAGCAAAGATGGTACAACGATTATCTGAAGACTATTTACAGGAGGACTGGACCCATGTCACTCAGTTGCCTGGTGTTGGAAAGTAAGTGTAATTATTATTTTTTCATCATGGTAGATACTTTCTTTCTTTAAAACTGTATTAACTTTATCATGGGAAACTCTGATAAACTTTTGTCTAATTTCTTGTAGGTATGCTGCTGATGCACATGCAATATTCTGCACAGGAAAGTGGGAGCAGGTTAGACCAAATGATCACATGCTAAATCGATACTGGGAATACCTATGCAGTACCAAGAATGCTTTGTCATAAGCATCAATCTTTTGGAGGAGTTGTTCGTTGTTAGTGCATGAGCTAAATGCACGCAATTGAATACCAGATAAAATGTTGATCAGAGGGGCGCAAAATCTGTAGTGGATGGAGCTATGACCTTGTTAGTTTCATAGGAGTCCACATTTTGACGTCGCATGAACTCAGGTCAAAAGCCCCCTCTATTTACACTGTTGTTTCCCTTGTTATCCTGGATTTCTGAATGTGTCATTTCTTGAAACTCGATTTCTATTTTCTGGAAAGAAAATGAGGAAGGTTTTTGTGCTGATTTGTTTTCCAGTTAGTGGCACATCGGCCAGATTTTACCAAAAACTGCAGCATATAATAGCATGACGCTCTATAATATTTCTCTTCAAGTTTTCTTCTTGCACGAATGCATCATTTTGTGCCTCAATTTCTTGTAGGCGCTCTAGGCCATCCTAGACTCGTTTCCCATCCTAGCAAGTGGCTTAAATGCGGAAGTACGGTTTACATAAGCCGTAAAGCCACTGTCAAGTTGCTCGAGAATTAGAAATGGTTTTTCATCTTGGGATCGAAAATGGGTTGGCGTTTCATGTTTTGGCATGCGATCACACGAAGCATTAAGACCTCATGGTAGCAAGGACATGTCTATAAACCACTCAAATCCAAAATACATATATATGCAGACAATATTGTTGTCTTCAACACCTTTATTCTAGCTTTTTTGGATTTTCTTTTTAGCACAGTTATTAAATTTTTTATGATAAATAAAAAAAATATCTAGAGATATAATCACAGTTTTCACAAGTCACAGATGGAAACTACAATACTTAAATTGTAAATATCAATTTTGTTTCATGAAATGTACAGGAAAAGAAAATATTTATGAATATAGCATGGTTTTAGAAGTTGTAGATAGCAACTGCGATACACGAGTTGCATGTTACACATGGCATCTATAATGTTATGTGAAATTTATATTATTAGCCCTTTTCTTTCTTTTTTTCTTTTTCTTTGCTCCTCTCTCTCTCTCTCCCCACAACCATCCACCCCTCCCCTCTCTCCCCACAACCATCCACCCCTCCCCTTTAACTAGTGCCAGCAATCTTCCTCTCTCTCTCTCTCTCTCCTCATTGCAAATCATCCATTTTCCAACCAAAACATCCACCATTAGTTACAATCACAACCCACATTATACATTTAGAGGTATATTAATAATTTCTTCTTAATGAATTAAATGTAATTCATGTTAACATGTGTTAACTTGATTTCATAAAATGTTAGGATTTTAAATTAAGAATTATGTTAATTAGATATAATTTGAGTTGATAATTAGGTTATTTTATAAAATAATCAATGATTTTAGGTTGTTGCTGATTGTAGATTAATAGAATTATTTTGTTAGAGTTTATTTATTTAGGTTAAATTATGGATTATACTGAATTACATATAAAATAAGAAAATTGGCTATGAAATACATGAATTTGATTGATAGTTTTGTTATGGTAATGAAATTTGATGAATTTAGATATTCATTGATTAATTTGATATATTTAGATTTTAGCCAATTACATTATTGTTATGGTTTTATTAATAAATTATGCATTTTGATTAACCCTAATATATTAATAAACTAGAATTGTATTTTGTTGTATTCTTTTATATGATAACATGTTTTGTAATTTAGGAATATTATGCTTCTATTATGGTATTATTGTCAATACCAACAATGGTATCACTTATAATGGAGGAGGTCATAAGTTCTTAATTACTACATTAGACATGTATGAGTTATCTAGAATGTTGTGTGCTTAACTTGCCTGAAATATGTTTTAAATAAAAGTTAAAATTACTTGAAAGATATTACAAATTGGGGTCAATCAAGCTTATTATTTTGGTGTACCACTATGTATTCATGAAAGTATAAATTTAATGTTTGAGTTTACAGTGATTAATGAGATTAATATGCTAGAGCTCTATTTCAATAATAGATCTAGATAAAGAAACTCTTTTAATATGGAGTCGACTTAGATTCCAAGTAACTCTCAGAGAATCACATAAGTATCATAAGCAGCTGGTCCATTTAGGTTAGGTGGCAATGTAAGTAGAAGAATATTGGTGGAGGAAATTGTTAATGTGGAACCTTAGTTAAGTATGACATCTGTTTCATATTTCTATGAAGAATCTAAATCAAGTAACAATGAAGATGACCATCACATTGATAAAATTGACATTGAGGAGGAAAATAAGGATACTGATACTAAGTTAGTTGAGCCTGTTAATCACTATATGGCTCCTCCTACTCCTGAAGTTAAGGTTGTGAATATAGATAACCAATATAGATACAATATCTAGGTTAATTGTCGTAGGCATCTAAGCTTATTAGTTGATGAATTAGAGATTAAAAAAAAAACAAATTTGAATGTATTACTATAGTAAAAATATGGCATATAAAAAACTCATTGCAATACAAGGTTCATCATTAAACTAAAATTTGTGTGTTAGTTACAATATGTTTAGGAACCAGTTTGTAGATGATATTTGCATGGAAAATATCACCAAAAATCTAATTCATGAAAATTTTCAAAATTTAAAGGGCCATACATACGTCAAAACCTTTATATTTTAAACATTATTATCAGGTTGACTCAAATCTCATTATTGAGATGATGTTGACAATTCTGAAGAGATATTTAAGTATGAGTGTTATAATGGTTAAGGTATTGTAGAGAGGGATTATTAGCATTACGTTTCCTATTGGAAGACGTGGATGACCAAAACAAAGATATTAGAGTGGTTATTTGATATATATAAAAAGTATTTTAAAATCTACCTAAAATATTGATGGTTATCACATATTTAAGTTTAGAAACAATTATCACTTGGGATCATAAAATGCTTAATGACAATAAGATAATATTTGGAAAAGCATTTTGGGTATTTGGTGCTTCAATTGATGGGTTTCAATAGTCATTCTTTAATTAGTATTGATGCTACTCACCTTTATGGTATGTATAAGAAAAAATTATTGATTATAGTTGTTAATAATGTAAATAATAAAGTTTATTCATTGTTTCTACTATTATTGAAGAAGATACAAACAATAATTGGAGTTCATTAATTGAAGTTCATTTTTATATTTGTCTCGAATTGACAATCACATTGAATTATATATTATTTGTGCCTCAATTTCTTGTAGGCGCTCTAGGCTTATCCTAGACTCGTTTCCCTTCCTAGCAAGTGGCTTAAATGCGGAAGTACGTTTTACATAAGACATAAAGCCACTGTCAAGTTGCTCGAGAATTAGAAATGGTTCATCATCTTGGGATCGAAAATGGGTTGGCGTTTCATGTTTTGGCATGCGGATCACACGAAGCATTGATTACAGATATGGACCTCATTGTAACATGGACATGTCTATAAACCACTCAAATCCAAAATACATATATATATATATATATATATATATATATATATGCAGACAATATTGTTGTCTGCAACACCTTTATTCTAGCTTTTTTGGTTTTTTTTTATCACAGTTATTAAATTTTTTTATTAAGTAACATAATGAAAAAAATATTTAAGGATTTAATCACAGTTTGGAAACTAAGACACCCAAGTTGTAAATATCAATTTTGTTTCATGAAATGAACTAGGAAAATAAAATATTTATGGATATAGCATGGTTTTACAAGTTATAGATAGCAACTCTGATACACGAGTTGCATGTTGCATGTTGCACATGGCATCTATGATCTATGATTTTATGTGAAATTTATATTATGAGCTCTTTTCTTTCTTGTTTTCTCCTTCTTTCCTCCTCTCTCTTTCTCTCTACTCATAACCATCCACCCCTTCCCTTTCACTAGTGCCAGCAACCTTCCTCTCTCTCTCTTCTCATTGGAAATCATCCATTTTCCAACCAAAACATCCACTATCAGTTACAATCACAACCCACATTATACATTTAGAGGTAACCCACATTATACATTTAGAGGTATATTGATAATTTCTTCTTAATGAATTTAATGTAATTCATGTTAATCGTATGTTAATTTGATTTCATAAAATGTTAGGGTTTTGAATTAAGAATTATGTTAATTAGAAATAATTTGAGTTGGTAATTAGATTATTTTGTAAAATAATCAATGATTTTTAGTTATTGCTAATTGTAAATTAATAAAATTATTTTGTTAGAGTTTGTTTATTTAGGTTAAATTATGGATTATACTGAATTATATATAAAAATAAAATAAGAAAATTGGCTATGAAATACATGAATTTGATTGATAGTTTTGTTATGGTAATGAAATTTGATGAATTTAGATATTCATTGATTAATTTGATATATTTAGATTTTAGCCAATTATGTTATTGTTATGGTTTTATTGATAAATTATGCACTTTGATTAACCCTAATATATTAATAAACTAGAATTGTGTTTTGTTGTATTCTTTTATATGATAACATGTCTTGTAATTTAGGAATATTATGCTTTCATTATAGTATTATTGTTAATACCAACAATAGTATCACTTATAATGGAGGAGGTCATGAGTTCTTAACTACTACATTAGACATGTATGAGTTATCTAGAATGTTGTATGCTTAACTAGCCTGAAATATGTTTTAAATAAAAGTTGAAATTACTTGAAAGATATTACAAATTGGGGTCAATCAAGCTTATTATTTTGGTGTACCAATATATAGTCATGAAAGTAAAAATTTAATGTTTGAGTTTACAATGATTAATGAGATTAATATGCTAGAGCTCTATTTCAATAATAGATCTAGATAAAGAAACTCTTTTAATATGGAGTTGACTTAGGTTCCAAATAACTCTCAAAGAATCACACAAGTATCATAAGCAGCTAGTCATCTAGGTTAGGTGGCAATGTAAGTAGAAAAATATTAGTGGAGGAAATTGTTAATGTGGAACCTTAGTTAAGTATGACATCTGTTTCATATTTCTATGAAGAATCTAAATCAAGTAACAATGAAGATGACCATCACATTGATAAAATTGACATTGAGGAGGAAAATAAGGATACTGATACTGAGTTAGTTGAGCTTGTTAATCACTATATGGCTCCTCCTATTCCTGAAGTTAAGGTTGTGAATATAGATAACCAATATAGATACAATATTTAGGCTAATGTCGTAGGCATCCAAGCTTATTAGTTGATGAATTAGAGATTGAAAAAAAAAACAAATTTGAATGTATTACTATAGTAAAAATATGGCATATAAAGAACTCATTGCAATACAAGGTTCATCATTAAACTAAAATTTGTGTGTTAGTTACAATATGTTTAGGAACCAGTTTGTAGATGATATTTGCATGGAAAATATCACCAAAAATCTAATTCATGAAAATTTTCAAAATTTAAAGGGCCATACATACGTCAAAACCTTTATATTTTAAACATTATTATCAGGTTGACTCAAATCTCATTATTGAGATGATGTTGACAATTCTGAAGAGATATTTAAGTATGAGTGTTATAATGGTTAAGGTATTGTAGAGAGGGATTATTAGCATTACGTTTCCTATTGGAAGACGTGGATGACCAAAACAAAGATATTAGAGTGGTTATTTGATATATATAAAAAGTATTTTAAAATCTACCTAAAATATTGATGGTTATCACATACCAAAAAAAGATATTAGAGTGGTTATTTGATACATATA